ATGGATGGATGTATGGATGTACGTACGAATGTGTATGTACGTATTGGGCCCAGAAGACGCCGCTCACCAGCGAGCCGCGAGCGATAGCTGAGATCCCCAGGCCCAGTAGGGTCGCCATGGTGATCATTGACGGTGTCACGACCAGGAGGCAGCCTAGTTTCTGAACTGGCCATCGAGACGCTGAGGGTATACGTCCTTAAGGCTGTGCAGGAGACATGGGGGCATGTAGCGATTTCTCTGTGGTGTCTTCGTGAAGCCATTGATTGGCGACTGGACGTCAGGACGAGGACTGACGAGACCTGCACGCTGAATGTCAGTCAGGTACCCTGCCGGACGAACGAGAGCATCCGTAGGGTCGAGCTTGACGTCGGTGTTCACTTGTGCGAGATAGGCCATAGGAAGGCGCTCTGCGAAACCTTCATGACGGATGTGTGTGTTTTCAGAACGTTGGGATACGGCTTTTGGCTACGTGAGCTACCGGTTTATGCTCTGGTAGCCTGATTACTGCTCGGCCCAAAGGGCATAGTGCAAACAGGCGCAGGCGGGTTCATCTGAATTCATTTGTGCCAGCGGCACGTTCACCGAACCCATGCCATCCAGAAAGACAGAGTATATGTATGTATGTATGTATGTATGTATGTATGTATGTATGTATGTATGTATGTAGGGCCCGAGTCGCCCGTAGCCGGGAATCTCGTAGAGCCCCAGTACCTCGCATTGCCATGGGACATGGCAAACGGTACGCCTTCAAAGAGCAGCGCTGCAGGGTGTGTAGCAGGTTGCAGTGGCCCTCCTATGAGAAAGTGGCAGGTGGAAGGTATGCACTGCCCACTTTGAGTGATTCTTGCCCTTGCGGACGGTACCTGGATCAAGTCGAAGAGCGGTTCGACCTGGATGCCACGGGTTCGATAGATGGCTGGCATGAGCGCCCTCATGAGGATACGTGTTGGTATTATTGCTGCCACCATTCGGTGGTCGGCGCTGACGCAAAGTTGCTGAATGTTACGCCTGCTGTGTGCCAACTAGGGTTCCCGGTGCAACATGACGTCGAGTGCAGATCATTGAGTGTGTGTGATGATGAGGCGCTGTCTGAATGTGGTCGGCCGGTGACTTTGCTTTGCGATGGCCCATATGGGAATACGTTTAGCACCGAGCAGAGGGACATTTGCCAGAAACGTCCTAATGACCTTGTTATCAGCGACCGACGTAGGCGATCGCTTTTCACGGAGCTGCATGATCACATTGGCTTTGCAGCGCAGTGGCGAGGGGTATGGGAGCCTCTTTGTCGGCAGCGTTTGACAACAGAGGCCGGCGGGAGCACCACGCCGGATGTGGTGCCGGACAAGTCAGTGGCGCATGGTATCCGACCCGAGGCTGATGGACAACAGCCCTTTCAAAAGCTCATGTTTGGTGGAGTTGATAGCTTCAGTAGCTTGGCCCGTGAGACTTGTTTGGGTGTGCATGTGCCCCGCTGTGTGATGGCAACAGGATCTGGCCTGGGATACACCTTGCTAGAACGTATGCTGTTGGATGGAGCTTCAACTGGAAGTTGAAGCTATCGAGTTCCGTACGCATCTGGTGCCTTACCCCGACAATCGTGTGATGATTGCATCCCTGCCCCGGCTATCTTTGCCGAATTGGCCTACGTTGAGCAGCTGCCAATGGCCAGGATCATCATGTTTGCCTCCGAGGTGGTTTCCATGTTGCTATGCATGTTCGTTGCCACAGCGCGTGCACGCATACACATGTCCTGCAGTGCTGAAACCTCTGCTTCGTTTTTGCCCCTTCGTGGTGATTCACGGGGGGATTGCGGGTCATGGAGACGACTTCTTCGATCCTTGGGTCGGTCGGGTAAATCTCCTTGGCTCTTCCCCTCAGGGCCGTGGGCCCAAGCTCTGGGGAGGGCTGATTTCTGTGCCGGCGGTTGCGGAGTAATCGCCCAGTACATACAGCTCCCGTTTGAGCATGTCGAACATTTTAATTAATGCATGTTTTGTTAGGCTGCGTCCGACTTGGATTCAGTGCCTCTGAAAGTGAAAGTGAAACATGCATGTATGTATGTATGTATGTATGTATGTATGTATGTATGTATGTATGTATGTAAGCGTAGAAATACATACATAGACATATGCATATATATATATATATATAGATGTGTATATATATATATATATAGATATGCATATCTGAAGACATGCTATATATATATATATATATATATACATATATGTATGTTGTATATCACATGTGGTTATATCATCTTACGTGATATTATATATGATATCTTCTATTGTACTATGTTGTGTTATACTGTATGATAGTACAGTATAGTCTAGCATAGTCTTGTATTGTATGTTGTAGTATGACATTATGATATATACTACACTATAAAGCACTGTACTATATTGTATGAGTATGTATCGCCTGCTTACCATGTTTGGTCTTGTGACCCTAGCAGTTGCTTTTTTCATGTTGCTGCCGTCTGGTGTCGGCGCGGTGCGTGTGGGCTGAGAGGCCCTCTCCCGTGAGGCGGGCCATGCCGCCCTTCGTTCTGATGGCTCCCGGGACGGAGGGCTTTTCATGGAGGCTTCTTGGCAATTTTTGGGGGCGCCTACAACAAAGGATAGGGGATCTTAGCATCTAGGGTCTCAAGGGTTTAGGGCTTAAGGCCTTGCAGGGATTAGGGCTCAGGGCCATTAATCCCAAATCCTGAACCTTCAAGCCTAGACCATAAATCTGACCAGTACTAGAAGATCCGTTGAGTTGGCCCTTATGTAACTTCAAGGTGGTTCTCGCGTTTGGAATCAAGGATGCCGTTCGTGAAGCCACTGACGACATTTCCCTGACTATCAGTCCTCAAGCCCACAAGCCTAAACCCTAAACCCAAAACCCTAAACCGGAGGCTCTAAAGCAAGAATCTCGGCCATGAAATGACGCCAGTTGGAGGATGGCAAAGCAGAGAGACGTCGGAACATGGGGCAATCTGGGGTCTGAAATAAGTAGAACATGGCTTTGGTGGGGGGGTACATCATACTACGAAAGCAACTGAAACTCTATGGATACATCATACTCCGAGTACATGCATAAACAAGGGTATACTAATCAGTCATTCTTCCGACTCTCATAACCGTACGTCCAGCACCACTGGCATGCTGCTGAAGGAGTAAGAGGGTATTTGGAGGTTCAAATCTCGGCAAGGCCACAAAGCCTAGACCCTAAAAGACCTCCTTTGTGGCATACTGGGGTTGATTAGACTCTGCCTGTAGTGGCAACAAGCTTTCCATACTCTGCTTGGTGGTGTGTGCCTGTCTATCGATCTGTCCGCGTCTATGTATGTATTCCTGCTCGAGGCTTTTGAGCTTAAGGTTCCAAGCCTAGCACTGGGTTTCGCTCGGCAGAGGGTCTGCGATCAAGTTTCACAGGTTCAAAGGGGCTGTGGATGCATGGTTCTGGTCGAGATGAAACACTTGGATACCTGGCGCTGCCAGTCTCTGTCTTCTCTGTGCAAACACCCGCGTGAGCCATCAGAACAGCAGGCATCGAATTGTCGGGCACTCGACAAATCATGGTTTGTGCCCGTTGTTCCGGGCACAAGAGCTGGTGGCACGGACCCTTACAAAACAGTCCGGCCAAGCGCCTACACTACTTCAGGGTTTAGGGTTTAGGGTCGGTCTAGGCATGAGAGGTGCCATAGGTAGAGCGTGTTGCTTTGAGGGTTTGGAGTCTGGAATCATGGTTGCCCCGGCTCAGCTTGTCAGCGGTCACGTCCTCCCCGAGCTTCGGGGTTCGGGGTTGAGAAGACGTTGAACTTACCACCACTTAGTCCCCTACTCCCTCATGCTGGGTTCGTGTTTAAGGATGTAGTTTAAGTTACCATGATAAGGAAACTTTATTATTTACTATAGATCCCCATTATGGCAACGCGGCAACGTAAATTCAATCCCTTAACAAGACCCCAGCAAGTCGTCTGTGCAAACTCCAAACTGTCCAACACCGAGTGGAGCCCTTTCCAGGCTGAGATGAGAGCTCTCGTGCCCCGCCTCGACCATCGCAAGCTCGGGCGCAGGAGCCTACTTCTTCTTCATGAGGTCATCGACCTGCAAATTTCTAGCTCTTGCTCCGTCGTCTCCGTGATGACAGAACGGAAATCATGGTGGCGGAAGCCCACCTCCTTCACGTCCAGGTCGCCCATGTCGTTGGCTTGGACCTCCTTCCTCGCAGTCGGCCGGGCTCGACGTTCGTTCTTTGAGCTCGGGAATCCCAGGTCTCTCGAGTAAACGACGATTCCATGAAGCTACCTGAAGCTGCCTGACGCTGCCTGAAGCTTGCAGCTGGGGCGCATGATGCCCGGGAACTTCTTCTTGAGCGCATCCTTGGAGCTGGCGTAGACCATCCGATCCTTCACGGTGGTCCTTGGAAGGCATGTGGTCAGAAGTCTGCAGCGATGTAGCTGCTACCAGCTTGGTCGTGGTTTCGCATGGCTTTGCATCCGAAGGTCTTGTCATCTGGCGACCAGAAGACGAAGCAAAGCTTGCTCTGCGGACGCCCATCTTCCGATGTGTACTCGTAGTCCACCAGCGCATACCTCCGACAGGCAAGCTGAGAATACTAGATGTGTGGGGATTGGTTCAAGTTCGCTCACGTGACATCCAGATACTAGGCAGACGCCAGGCAAAGCTTATGTTCCATTCCGAAAGGGTGTTCACGATCAGTCAGAATTGCACTGTCAGAGAACTCAGAGGGCCTTCAGTAAGGCATGGGGGGTGCATCTTGAACGGAGCAAAGTGACGACCCGCCCGAGAAGCATGCTGTAGGGGCCTTAATAATTAGAATAGGGTTTTGGGGTATACTATACTATACTTATAATAATAAGGAACCCCAAGATAATATTGGTAATTATCCACGCCCCTATAGTGATGCTCTCTCTCCCTCTCTCCCGTTCATTGGGGAGGGTGACTGGTGGCTTTCCACACTCTCATGAGTCGCAACCCTTAACCCTAAACCCCTGAATTGCCCAAACCCCTAAACCATACACCCTTTCTTCCTCCTAAACCCCAAACCCCTCGAATCACGACCTCAGCCAGACCCCCAAGCCCCAAACCCTAAACCCTCAACCCTAAACCCTAAACCCTCAACCCTATAAACCCTCAACTCTAAACCCTCAACCCTATAAACACTAAACCGTATAAACCCGAAACCCTCAGCCCGTCTCCGGAGCCCGTCCTGGGCTCACCCTCCGGCAGCTTGGCCACGAAGTCCTCCGCAATCCGCAACAGGGGGGAGGGGGTTTAGGGTTTAGGGTTTAGGGCTTTAGGGCTTGGGGCTTTCAGGGCTGATGGGGTTCAGGGCTTGCAGGGCTTATGAGGCTTACAGGGTTTATAGGGGTTTATACTTTATGGCTTCTAGGGGTTTGTAAGGGCTTAGGGGTTGGGACATTCATCGCTCTCTCCCTGCACCCTGCTTCTGAAGCCCAAGTTGCCAAACTCAGGATCCCCAAAGGGCTCTTGGGAAGTTTAGGGTGTCGAAGTCTAGGGTCTTTTGAGGCTTAATGGCTCAGTGTTTCCTTGTAGGTCTCGCCGGAAGGGCCCTGGCACTCGGTGACGATCTCCTGAGCGGAAAACGTGGGGGATGAGGAGACAGGGGTGCAAAGTGCCTTACCGGGGTCTGGGTCTGATGGGGTTCAAAGCTTCGCCTCCTTGGCCTGGACTTCGCAAAGTTACCGGCGGTACGTGCACGGGTTTCGGCTTCCATAGGGTGCCGTTGCGGGGGGCTGCAACTTGGCTCATCCGAGACCGATATCCTGAATCCCCGCGACAGCGACCTTTAGGAGGCTCTTTAATCCACACCCGTGGCACCAAGTTCTGCCCGAAAGTCAGCTTTAAATGCAATGCAAAGTCTAGGAGGCCCGTCAGAGATGAACAGGCACAAAAACAATCTGCCGATCATCCCTCATGAACCTTTAATATAGGGGCGTTGATGTATACTATGATTATAATAAGGAGCCCCATGATATCGTTAGTAACCATTACAGTAAGGCCCCTATAGTACAGCTGGACCTTGTGGTTCTCAATCTTGAAGATGACGTAGCGCAGGTCCTCGGAGGCCCCAGGGCCCAGGGCGGTTTCCCCCTCAAAGCTTCAGCTTTCGGTCGATCGCTGCTTCCGATCTACTATAAGGGTTTAGGGGCCTTAAGAATTAGAACAGGGTTTTTTTTTGGAGGGGGGGTATGTTATGCTATAATTAAAATAAAAGAACCCCAAAATTAGAATTGGTAATTATTTAGGCTTCTATGCTGCCTGGCAACTTTCGTAACCTCCCAAACTTTTACAAATATGCAAGAAGCTTCCTCTGTGTGGGGCTTCGAACCTTTGGGGCTTCTAGCTGCAGGACACTTTCCTTTCTGCGTTTAGACTTCGCACATCCACTCTTTTGACTTTGGGTTTGGGGTTTAGGGTTTGAGGGTTTAGGGTTTAGGGTTTTAGGGTTTAGGGTTTTAGGGTTTAGGGTTTTGGGTTTTGGGTTCCCGGAGTGTAGGGCGCAATGTCTCAGCTGACATCTCGTTCTTCACACACTTGCAAGCTTCTTGCCAGTGGGACCGGCGGTCCTTCTTCATCTTGATCTGGTTGTACAGGTCCACGCATCCGTCATTCACCGCAACACCAGACATGGCCACGAGAGAGCTACAAAATCGACAGCGCAGTCTACTGCTACTCAGAAGGAGGGCTGTAAGCTACAGAGCCCAGACAAGAGGCATGACAAATACCACCGAATACACCTTGGCAGCTGCTCATCTTCTTCATCACCGAACACCGCACCAGCCAAAACAGCACCGGCAGCAGCAGCAGCTGCTGCTGCAGCAGCAGCATCGCGCCATGGACTTGGCAATGATTGCTGTGCATTCGTAGCCACATCAGCAGAACAAGAAGCAGTGCCGTGGACGGAGCACGAAGAGTTTTTGCGGCAGTGTAGGAGAGCGGCAGCACTTGTAGTGGTGTTGATGGTTGTAGCAGTGGCAGCAGCAACAGCAGCAGCAGCAGCAGCAGCAGCAGCGGTGCTAGCAGTGGTAGCAGTGATTGGAGCAGTGGTTGTCGAAGGCTCTCCGAACCTGAAACACCACATTCCGGATTTCATCGCTGAGACACTCCTTTCACACCTGAAACCCTCAACCAACTCATTTTGCTGCCGTTTGCAGGGCGCGGTGCGTGTGGGCTGAGAGGCCCTCTCCCCGTGAGGCGGGCCATGCCGCCCGTTACTGATGGCTCGCAGGACGCTGAGCATGATAAGGTTTTGCGCCTTACTGGTGATCGTGGGGTGTAGGAGTTCTCGTGCTGCTACCAACGGCAGCCACAATCAACATGACACCAGACTCACTAGACCCTAGCTGCAGCCCACGAAGCGGGCGTTGAGGCCCATTTAAGGATTTAGCTTGAGGGTTTAGGGTTCAGGGAGACCCGTGCACACCATCAGAAAAGCAGGCATCGAATTGTCGGGCACTCGACAAGTCGTACGTGGTGCCCCTTGTTCCGGGCAGCTGATCTGGGAGCACCGACTCTACCAAACGGTCCGGCTAGGACACCTAGGTCGCTTGGCTTGCCTACTTGACCCCCGTGGCATGCGGGGTGCTCACATAAACTCTGACAAGTAATCTGCATAAACCCCCTACAAACCCCAATCAAACCCTGCGGAAATCCTATCAGTACCAGAGGCTTGGGGCTTCAGAGAGCCCGGGCCCCGGCTCAGTAACGCATTGGTTGCGGCCTCGGCACTTGACGATGGAAGCGATAGCCATAAGCTCTGCATCCGCGAACTCCCAAGATTTAGGGTCTGAGGCTTCGCGGACCTGAAGCTGTCCCTGCACATCGTCTCTGCAAACTCCGAAACTTGGATTTGACAGCTTGACCAGAACATGGGCTTCGCCCAAAAATCACGGCAGTGTCGCAAAGGGGGTGTTGTGATGGTTTGTGGGAGGTTGCTGACCACTCACATCACTGAAGCCTTCGAAGTTTGTCGTAATCAGTAACAGGTCAGCCTCACAAACACTAAACCCTGTCAACCCTAAACCCCGTAAACCTTAATCCTTTAAATTTTACGGTACTATAGGGCTTATAGGGCTTATAGGGCTTATAGGGCTTATAGGCTCAGGGTCTCAAGGGTATTATTGGGTTTAGGGTACTATGGGCTTTATAGGGTTTACAGGGTGTATAGGGCTTATAGGGATTATAAGGGTACTATAGGGTTTATTGGATTTGAAGGGTTTACAGGGCTAATAAGGCTAATAGGGCTTATAGGGCTTATAGGGTTTATAAGATACTATAGTGTTTAGGGTACTATAGGGCTCATAGGGTTTATAGGGCGTATAGGGCTTATAGGGTTTGTAGGGTGTAAAGGGTACCATAGGGTTTATAGGGATATAGGGCTCATAGGGTTTATCTGGTTTAGGGTACTATAGGGTTTATAGTGTTGGGGGTTTAGGGTATAATGCGACATCGTACAGTCTCATGTGATCACAGTACACCATAGCAAAGTATGGTCATATAGCATAGTATAGCATAGCACAGTATAGTATAATATATTATTGTATAGTAGAATGTAGCATAGTGATTATGGCATAGTATAATATAATATAGAAGCGTAACAACTAACAGTTCATGAACACCCGAAACCCAAAACTCGGCCCAAAGGCCTCGGAGCCTACTTCTTCTTCATGAGGTCATCCACCTGCCGGCAGGCGCTTGTGGGCTTCTATAGAGCTCAGATGCAAGCGCTGCCCGCAGTAGCAGAAGCCTGGATCTGAGGTTGCGTGGCAAGACTGAGTTTAAGAGGGAGGTGCAGATAATCTGATATAGTCTAATCATAACATGATATGATATGAAAAGATATGTTAGAATATGGCAGAATCGAATGCAATATCATATAGAATCTCAGTTCGAACCCTTGTCTGCCCTCCAACCCTGAACCTCTGAGATGACTTGCGAGGCAGCCCACCTCCTTCACGTCCAGGTCGCCCATGTCGTTGGCCTGGACCTCCTTCCTCGCAGCCGCAGGATTGGAGCTTCGGGCTTATAGGGGTTGTGAAGGGCATCTGGACATGACGCTCTCAGAATCGAGTGTTCGGAGCTTTGGGCTTTGCTGGCTTTGCTGTCTCGGACTTGGCTGCTGTGCCGCAGCCAACACGAAAACAACCCTGAATGAAACATGACTCCCGACCCATCCAAACCCTCGAAGCTTGCAGCTGGGGCGCATGATGCCCGGGAACTTCTTCTTGAGCGCATCCTTGGAGCTGGCGTAGACCATCCGATCCTTCACGGTGGTCCTTGGAAGGCATGTGGTCAGAAGTCTGCAGCTAGCTGCTACCAGCCTTGTCGTGGTTTCGCATGGCTTTGCATCCGAAGGTCTTGTCATCTGGCGACCAGAAGACGAAGCAAAGCTTGCTCTGCGGACGCCCGTCTTCCGACGTGTACTCGTAGTCCACGAGCGCATACCTCCGGCATAGCTGCAACACTAATGCAAGCAACCACCAGCTTAATCCCTGAACTCCTGGCTGTATGAGGCCTGACCGCGCTCTGTCAGTATGAGTCTCTCTTGAGTAGGACTCGTGGTGGGCTCATGTCTCTAACCGGCCTGGGCTCACCCTCCGGCAGCTTGGAAACGAAGTCCTGCGCAGCCGCAGAGACCCTGTCTCCCGGCTAGACCCTTACGCCCTCAACTCTGAAACCCCAAACGGGGCATTACACTACAATTTATAATAAGGAACCCCAGAATTTTGTGGCTAAGTACTTAACCCCCTCTGTTAATCCAGGAATCCCCGGAAAAACCCAGAGCGCATCTCAAGCACCGAAAATCAGGAAACCCCCTTCTTCGAGGATCCCTCCTTGTAGGTCTCACCCGACGGGCCCTGGCACTCGGTGACGATCTCCTGAAGCCAGGGCTGGGCTCCAGGACTTGAGGGTTTCGGGCTTAGGGCTTTTAGGGTTTAGGGTTTAGGGGTTTAGGGTTTAGGGTTTAGGGTTTTGGGTTTAGGGTTAGGACTTTGGGGCGCTGTTGTTGCTTAATTTCTGTGCGCTTTTCGGTTTTGAGTGCGGGGGGGGGTTATGGGGGACCCTTGCCCATGTTGGGTCTCGGGTCGATGGTTTAGGATTTATGGGCTCGCTCACATCCCGTCCGGTTTTTGCATAGTGCTGAGACTGCAAGTCTGAATCGGGAGCTACGGTGCGATATCAATGGCAGGAGACGGCTGCCCAAACCCAGGCAAGACACCGAAAATTCAGGATCCTCGGCAAAACCAGCTGCAAGAAGCACTGAAACAGCTACCCTAAACCCTAAACCTCTAAACATTTCTTCTGCTCCTGAAACCAAAAGGGAAGGATGCCCGAGGGTGAACTAATGTCAATGTGTTCGGCTACATCCTGAACCATTTGCCCGAAGACTCGATTCGGCTTAAGTAGGAAGTCATGAGAGCTAGCCTAGGGTTTAGGATTTATGCCTTTGGGGTTTTGGGGTTCGGGTTCAAGTTTAGGGTTTTGGGGTGTTGGGGTTTTGGGGTTAAGGTTTAGGGTTTAAGGTAAACCCTAAACCAAAGAAGATTTGGATCGTTTGCAAGACGACGCATCACGATTTCGATGCCCAAACATCCTATGTCCTATGTCCGTCCCTAGGCACTCTCTGCAGCCCAGCACAATGTGGCACAAAGCTCACCTTGTGGTTCTCAATCTTGAAGATGACGTAGCGGAGGTCCTGCGAGATGAGACACTCACGAAGGTGACAACGAGTCGAGTTGAGTCCGGGATCTTTGTTGGAGATTTGCTGATTCTATATCAACTCCAGGGATTGGGCCGGGAACGCTCATGTGTTACACCCAAGGCGTACATTGGGGTCAGGGAGGTCCGGCGGTCCTTCTTCATCTTGATTTGGTTGTACAGGTCCACGCATGCGTCGTTCACGGCAACACCGGACATGGCCACGAGAAAGCTACAAACAAAATCGACAGCGCCGTGTACCGGTGACGAAGCGGGCTGTAAGCTGAACAGCAGCGAGCGACGCGATAGAATCATGCATAGCAGGGGACACAAACTATCGTGCTTCTACCCTTCTGCCACAGCCACTGCCGCTGCTTCTGCCGCTGTTTTCGCTGCTCTTCATGCTCCTCCTGCCGCTTTACTAGCGCTCATCCCGGCGCTCCTGCTCCTCCTCTTGCTGCTCCTGCTCCTGCTCTGCGATTCTACTTCT